ATTTATTTAAATTCAACTATTTACACATTAATCCTGATAGACAATGAATAAGTTGACTCAGTTAGTTGTTTGAAAGGGATTAGCTACCAAATTAAAATTCTAATTCAAAGATTAAAGTATTGTAATTGCATCAAGAATTTTAATGTAAATATTTCCACTTGTTAGATTGATTTCAAGTTTTTCATGATTTGGAGATTTTTCATGGCTTAATTTATAAATCAAAGCATTAAAAATTTCATCAACAATATAAGTATTTCCCCTTTTTTTTTTTTTTTAAATTGTATGAATTCATTAAAGAATATTTTATGAATAAATCATTTCTTGTAATAAAATAAACAATGAAAATACCGAAGATATAATTGTAGAAATATCAACAGCTTACTGCAATAATTTTTCTTTTTATCTCAAATCATTTAACTGATGTTTTGACATTTTTACACATTATTAAAATATCCTTTTTTATTTCTAAAAAATCAAGAAGTTTTAAAATATCTATTTCATTTTGATAAACTAGTTAGGTACGTAAAAACATATTATTACAGAAATTATACTGTTAANGAATATCTGAAGATTATAGAACGTGCGTTGTTCGAATTACCGTTGGGAAAGTTCTAATTTTTAAATTTTTATATCAATCCTGAAGAAGGTCTATGAATTAGACCGAAAACGTTAGAGAACTATCCAAAAGTAGACTGCATTTTAAAGGTATAGTGGAATGTAGAATGTAGAAGTTATTATCTTTCTCTTAATGAAATTATATTTAAAAAAAAATGTTTTTTACTTGAAGTAATACAACAAATAATAATTTATCATCATTAGTTGAATAACAGTTTGTATTTTTTTTTTATATATATAGTACATTTGAAATTCTAAGTAACTTTTTCTTTTAAAATAAAATAAATCTTTTATTAATTTAGAAATTTATTTAAATTCAACTATTTACACATTAATCCTGATAGACAATGAATAAGTTGACTCAGTTAGTTGTTTGAAAGGGATTAGCTACCAAATTAAAATTCTAATTCAAAGATTAAAGTATTGTAATTGCATCAAGAATTTTAATGTAAATATTTCCACTTGTTAGATTGATTTCAAGTTTTTCATGATTTGGAGATTTTTCATGGCTTAATTTATAAATCAAAGCATTAAAAATTTCATCAACAATATAAGTATTTCCTTTTTTTTTTTAAATTGTATGAATTCATTAAAGAATATTTTATGAATAAATCATTTCTTGTAATAAAATAAACAATGAAAATACCAAAGATATAATTGTAGAAATATCAACAGCTTACTGCGATAATTTTTCTTTTTATCTCAAATCATTTAACTGATGATTTAACATTTTTACACATTTTCTATTAATGCTTTCTATTCAATTTATTATAAATGACATCATTAAATTCTAGAATGTTGGACATCAAATAAGTATGAAACAGATTAATTTAGGTTAAATATGTCTATAATCATTTTAAAGATTAAAAAAAATGCACTGAAAGTTTAAAAAACAAAAAAATGTCATAAAAAATAAAGTAAAAAGGTGAATTAAAAATACTTTAAATTTATTATCCAAATGCTATCACAATACATTTTCAACGATAGAGTGAAAATCCAATGAAAGTAGGTCAGGATAAATTGGATTAGATCAAACAACAGTGGTAATAGACAAGCCATATAACAAGAGTCAGTATCCCAAATCCTAAAAATACTATCCGAAAATATGCTTTCTACCGCGTTACTAAAATATTGATAAAAGTAGGTATAAAAAAGGTTAGGTCAGGAGTAATTGTGCAGAGGTTTATTTGTGCTTGGTTAGGAGAGGATAGATTATATATTGATTTGATTAACTTGATTTTTTATATTATCCATATTAATGTCTTCAAAATTATTTGATGAGAATAATTAAAGAAGAATACAAATCACCTAGTTTTAAATGGGTAATATTTTTTGAAGTCATTATCAGAAAATTAAGGTTGTCTATTTTTATATTACACTGATTTATCACAAAATTAATTTTGAAATTTAATCAATAATGTTTTTATTAATATAATTTATGATTGCAATAAAGTTTATTTCTTTGTTAAATTCATTAATAGAATTAATGAGATTTTTATGTATTTTAATCACAAAAAAAAATTCAACTTTGTAAAAAATCAATAAATTTGGTAAAACCATTGCACAGTTTCTGGATGATATGATGAAATTTTCTACTCTATCATAATTATATGCCAAATGTGTATATNATATATATTTTTTTTCTCATAGAATATCTGAAGTGGTGTGCAAGAACAACGAAGACAACCATCATAAACATCCACACGATCACACATGCAAAAGATAAATAGGTACCGTGGAAGTCGTTGTGCTCTGTGAAGGGGCGTTTCGTTCAGGCAAGATGGTGCTGACGTTTCCTCCTGCAGTGGCACTACCATGAAAACCGTTTCCTATTGTTGTTTCTCGGAGCTCCCTCCCATTCCGAGCATCACGTTGGGCACTGTGCGTCGTCAGACTCATAGGTGAGTGATTATCTGAGTGCTAGAAGACCAAGAAAGAAAAAAAAAGTAGGAGGAACGAAAAAACAGATAACACATTTCCAAATACCATGGGTAATTTAACACAAACTTTTTTTAAGTGCTTAATTATCACTGTACCACATAACCGAAACATTTTTATATGTCCTAAAAAAATGTTTCTAATCAAAATGAAATTTTAAAAACGTATAAAAATCTTTTAAAAATCTCTATTACGAAAAACAAAATATCAAAGGGATGCAGATGAATTAAAAGGGGCTGACTTTTAGGAGAATTATTATTATCTTTTTGACAGCTGATAAACAGGAAGGACGACCTGAAAGTCAGTTTTTGGAAGTTTTTTTTTTTTTTTATATGGACAATAGACGACCAACGACACCACATGCACAACAGGTTGTGGGATTGCTTTTTTTTAATAAGTATTAAAGGAAATCACCTGTAAATTGTTGATGGCCTCTGTGCGCGCAATGTCCTCTTCACATCCGGACATACTGGTAATGCAGGTATCTGCGGAGGGCACGTGGCTTTGCCGGTCGCACGTTATCTCAACCATTGTAGAATTAGGAGGCTTTAGATCTCCCGAAGAAGAAGGATAGCCAGTTGTTGGAGAGACATTTCCGCTCGGCAATCCGCCATTGCTCTTCGTTGCATCCAGAAGTACCCGAAGAGAGGCTATTGCGTGCAGTTGTGAAGCTTTGTCGTCTAATTTACCTAATAGAAAAAGTTTCTTCTGCATCATCAATAATCATAACGATCGCATTGGTAAAGGAGCGCAGTGCTACAAAGCTAATGTTCTTGTTTATTTTCTTTTTAACTGGATTTTGCTCAGAATTTTTCTATAAGCTTTAACTAAATAGCCAACTTAATGCGAAATTACTTTTGAAGACAATTTTGGCGTTTTAATATTCTTCTTTTGATAGGCGAAAAGCATTGTGTAGTATCAAATTTTGTCTTGGCGTGCTTGAAACGTCTGAAAATTCCATTATTTTTTTTTAAATTTAAATACGGTACATTATAAAAACATTTCGCTAAAAAATATCAAATTTTTTTCAGGTTTTCTCGTGAGGGAAAAATTGTCATGTGACATTTTCCAATTATGTCAGGCTGCCTAACCTTTTTTTAAAAAAAAATTAATATATTTTTTACTTCCTTCGTAAGTCGTTTCATTAAACTGAGATATTAAAAAATGCACACAGACATTTCCATTAAAAATTTAAAACTAAGGAAAAAAAGATTATTTTTAGATCAAACTACAAATAATAGGAATTTTCCATTCACATGGATAGGGAGTTATTGCCATGAATCAATGTTTTTTTTGGCTAGATTTAAACTGAATATATTAAAACGAATAATGATTTTTAACTTATAAAAAAAATGAATATAATTTATAAAATGACAAATTTATAAATATTGCGTCATTTTCTTCCCCAAATCCGACCGCCATCATAATTTTAAAATGCGTCAAACGCGTCATTTGACATTAACCAATCACCCTTCTTATAGCGATTCGAAATTTTGAAACAATTTACGTCAAGAAACTTCTAGCCAATCGATGATTAATTCTATAGATTTTTTTTATATTACGCAATAATGAGGTCACTTACAGCCAGCCAATCAATACGTTTAATTTTTAAATATTATAATTGACACATTTCGTAGGCGAGTAAATCGTGCCTCTTCAAAATTACTTACGTTTGAATGGAAACTTACTAAATTTAGCAAACGTACATAAATTGTATTTAATAACTGAAATTTATAAAATGATAAAATTATGGCATGGTATTTTCTTTACGAATCTGAAAATTCAGTTTAAAAAAAAATCAAACTATAATAATAATTTAAATTTTAAATACGTCAACATACGTCGCTTCATACTATTCGATGATTTTATATCACACATCACTCAGTTTCCAACCAATTAAAGATGAACCAACAAAATTTAAATTAAAACACTAATGAGATCGAAAGCAAACACCAACCAATTTTTTTAAGAATTAAATAATAATATAATGATTGAAGGATTTATTTATTTTAATTCAAAATTATTCGTATCTGAAATTAATAAAGTTTATAAATTATATTAAATAACCAATTCGAGTTATATATATATATATATTTTTTTTCTCATAGAATATCTGAAGTGGTGTGCAAGAACAACGAAGACAACCATCATAAACATCCACACGATCACACATGCAAAAGATAAATAGGTACCGTGGAAGTCGTTGTGCTCTGTGAAGGGGCGTTTCGTTCAGGCAAGATGGTGCTGACGTTTCCTCCTGC